CTTAGTAAAACCTGATACCCTTCTATGTACAGGACCGATGCGTCAAATTCACCGACAAACGGCTATGAAGCATCAGTTAACACTGACTGGTTTCCGTCCGCACCCTGGGACGCAAATGCACCACCCTCTAAAGGCCGCTGCCCTGTGAGTCTGCTTGCCACGCTCCTGGCGTGGGTACGTGCTCTTCTCCCGTCGCACCTTGGCTCCGCCCTGTCGAGCAGACCGACACGCGTCCGCCGCGCCGTCCCTATCACGGCCTCCCTCTCCACAGTTGCTCTTGAGCGGCAACAACCTGACCACGCTGGACGAGCGCACGGTGCCCTTCTGGGACCAGCTGGTGATGCTGCGGCTGGAGGACAACCCGTGGCACTGCGACTGCCTCATCAAGTGGATGACCACCAACCTCATGCAGCACTTGGAGACCGTCGACGAGCATGCGGCCAGCCGAGTCACGTGAGTGCTGCAGCAGACGACTGGCCTAGTCACGTGAGTGCTGCAGCAGGCCCCGCCAGCGCGTGAACACAGCGGAGAGGACCACCTGCTCCTCATGGACACCGCATCCTTCACACCCACGGTTAAGCAAAGCGCATGCAGGATGGTTTTCGGGCCGCACGGCTAGGCTGGCGGTCTGCAGACATGAGCATTTGGATATGTTATGTGCTTATATCATGTTTTAAACAGATGACATCTGCCTTGGCTCTTAATCACATTAACGTGGCGAGCAATGTTAAACGGAACCGGAGAGCGACAAGTCTGGCTGTGGTACTGCTAAGCTGGCGAGTGCATTGACCTCCGGAAATTTGAGCACAGAACCGCACTAACCCTCCACAGGTGCCAGCCATCCCTGGCTAGTACCAGATTCCACCCGACCTCCAGGTGTCAGTCACCCCTAGCCAGCGCAAGGTCCCACCTGACCCCCTGGTGCTAGTCCCCCCTGACCAGCACCAGGGCCCATCTGACCCACAGGTGCTAGCCACCCCTGACCAACCCCAGGTGCGACCTGACTCTCAGGTGCCATTCACCCTGGGCCAGCACAAGGTCCCACCTGACCTCCAAATGCCAGTCACTCCTGGCCAGCACCAGGCCCCACGTGACCCGACCACATCCCCCGTCAGGTGTCAGTCGCCGCCGGACCTGGCCGGAGAGGCGCTGGAGCGCCTGGCAGACACGCCGGACGTGTTCATCTGCCCGCCGGAGGCGCCGTTGCTGAACCGACGCGGCGGCTCGAACTCCACCTTGGCCGCGGCCCTCTCCGTCGGCGCGCTGGTCATTCTCATCGCCGCTGGCGTGGTCGGCTTCCTCTTCTGGCGGCGCGACAAGATCCGCCGCGCTTACAGGTGGGCGCGAGCGGCGCTGGTCGGCGGCCGCGCGGCTTTTCCGCCTGTGAGCTGCCTGCATGCTACGTGACGTGACGCGTGTGGCTGCGTGACGTGACGCGTGTGGCTCCGTGACGTGACGCGTCGCAGCGGTTGCGAGTGACGGGCGTCGCTGGGCCGAGAGGAGAGACAGCATGACGTTATGGCAGACTGAGCCACGGTCTGCGAGGGGGATACACGCGCCAATCAGAGCTCCATGGCGGCCTTGGCGGCAGGGGAAGCTCCTTTGGGCTAGCTGGAACAGCGTGTTGTTGCGCGGCCCTTCCCTGGAGACAACTGGGAGGTGAAGCTGATTCTGGGCATTGTGCTTAGTGTGCATTCAAACTTAAAAGGGTGTTAAAAGGGTGTAAATCTTCTGGCGTGCATGATACAAAAGTAGCGTATCTTTATCATGTTGACGCCACAAAACTACACAAGTTGACTGCACTGGCAGTGTTATGGATTCTGAACATCACAATGCAATGTAATACAGGAACCAAAACTTCACGTCACATTTGAATCCGTCTCGGGAAGATGCATGCCATTTCTCTCCACATGGCCAAGGCTACAAATACGTCCCCCCAGTCGTGACCAAGGCGCCACGCAACCGCATGCTTGCGGCGCCAACGTGTCCCCATGCTTACGCGTCCCCCACCAGCGCCGCACACGCGGCCCTGGTGTGACCAGCCCGGCCGCTCGCTGCGCCCTCACCACGCTCCCCGCCTGTCTGCTTCAGCAACAAGCTGTATATGACGTCACAGCTGGGGGCGGTGGTGGTGCTCATTGTCTGCGTCTTCTTCTTCTGGTTCATCGTGGGTGCGGACCGCACGGGCGTGATATCGCCCTCCGACCCCATCCTGCTGCGGCTGGTCGGCAGCTTCTTCCTCTTCCTGCTTATTTCCGCCGGCGCCGCCCTCTACGCCATCCGGCGTCAGACTGAGTCGGCCAAATACAGGTACCTGCTCGCGGCGACAGCGCTCTCGGCATGCTCGGTGTAATTTTACCGCATCGTTATCGTGAAAGAAATACGTCACGTCAGAGCTGCCATTGGGCCAATTGGTCATGTTCTGCGTGACCGGAGGGTCCAGATGCGCATAAGGAGGATGTTGCCGGATTTCTTTGTTCCTCTTGCTCGCATTCGCTTGCCAGAGGAACACCATTAATTGTAAGTTTCAAGTCTGCAAAGCCGACTTGACCCTGCGAGAGCACTTCTGCTCTCAAATTTCATAGTGCCCTGTATTTGTTTGCCCATGCACTCGTTCCAAAACCTCCCCGCTGTTATTTTTGCTTTCTGGTGGGTCCTAGGTTCACAACCATGACTTTTATTAGTACCCTGCCTGCTTTGTAAGGTAATTGGTGTTCCCTGCATCCTATCTCATGTCGTTTACATGCGCTCATCCGGTTCGAGATGCGCTCGCTCAAAACTTGTTTCCATGGCCTGGGCACTGCACGGTCTTCCCTTCCGTCGACTTGGGCCACCCTGTCAGCGGAGTCAACGACCCAGTGCTGTCTGCCTTATTTCACCATACTTTGTGCACGCATTTGTGCAGCGTCCTCTGCTTCGGTGACCTGTATTTGTCGGCCGTCTATTTGAACCATTTTCCCTACACATGTGGAAGATAAGGCGGCATTTTCTCCGCCATCGCAAATGCGGATCTTTACATCTCTGGACCATGAGGCATATTTTGACAAGAGCATGAGACTCCCAATACCTGCTTGCATGAAGTTCCTACGTCTCCAGCAGGCTGATGACTTTTCTCAGCTACGCAAACGTCTTCTCACTTTCTTTGGATTATGTGGGGCCGTCTCTAAGCACCGCCTAGCGCTGTTCATTTCCTCTACATAGTCTCGTACTCACATTCATTCAGGATCCCCAGCGACAGAAAGCATCCCTTTGCTTGAAAGCATCCCTTAGCGCGCGCAAATTCGCCACACTGTACGCGGACCTCCGCTTTGCTGTGGCGTTGGTCGCGCGTCTGCTTCCCCGCAATGAGTCAGGATCAGCTGCTCGCTCTGCCCATCAGCCTCGTCAGTACGTTCCGCCTGCTGCGTCCAAGTGCTCCACAAAATCCTGCACGATACCCTTTTTCGTTCCTATTTCTCATTCACTCACCTCTCGTTGCACAAGGCACCGCATCTTCCTTTCCACCGCTCTTGCCACCTCCACGCGTGCCGTTCGGTTCGACACCCTTTTTCGTTCCTATTTCTCATTCACTTCCCTCGCATTGCACAACACACCGCATCTTTCTTTCCACCGCTCCTGCCACCTCCACGCGTGCCGTTCGGTACTCTGCTACGCCTGCTGTAACGCCACGCTCTCCGCCTTCTCTCCGCCAGGGCGAGACAGCAAATCCGCTACCGGCGCGCCGTCATGGAGGAGGAGGTGGACGTCGACGACAGGCCCACCGTTGACGCGTAGGGGCGCCCGACAGCACGCGACTCGTCTTCACGGTCGGCGCCGCCTGGTGTCAAGACTGATCACTACGTGGTGTGACGTCCCCAATAGATGACGTGACGTCACCCAGCGGGCATGTGACGTCACTGGATGCACCGGTTGGTCTCGCAAGGCACAATCCAGTGGTTGAGCAGCTCAGATTCCCGTCAAAAACAGACACGACGTATGTTGTTGACTCCGAGCTAGCTCACGCGAGGCAGCCTGTGCAGTAGACTTGTCGACAAGACATCGACGAACGGGGTGTTTCAAGCGCCTGACTAAGCGTTTGAAAATATGTTATGATTGTTCTAGTCTGCCGGTCTGCTGAGCTGATGTCCAAACTTCAGCCAGGTCGACTTCATAATTAAACCACGCACACGCGTGCGTAATCAACACACGCAAACGGTGTCCGCTCGCCTGGGGCCTGTGCCAAATAGAACCATCACCAGATGCGTTTACGAGTTATTTGCAAGTGTTTCAGTTTACTGGTCCACAGGAGCGATGTACCAACTATACGTGGGTCGAGCTGATGATCGACAAATCACGCATGTGATGAGTTTTGCAGACGACCCGAGACAAATTAATCCACACCCGACACAGGGACGTAGTTTCGCGAAGCACGCTGACGGGGGTGAATTGTGAAAATGTGTCAACACCTCAAAAATACCCTAAAACGAAATTCTCACCAGATTTTGCACACTTCCTTTTCAAAGTTGGGAGAAGCCCTCTGAAATGAGTACGAAACTACAACCGCTGCCCTTTTCCGGTCCTGGCCACACTACAAGTAAGCACTTGATTGGAACAGCTGGCTGACCGGGATTTGTTTCCCTCATCGCATGCCATCCACAGCAGCCGATCCACGCGCATGCGATCATCGCCCTCCAATGCGGCGCGGTTTTCCGAGAAGCCTCGCCGAGCGGAGACGAAGCAGCGACTGCTGTGGACTCGTTGAGAATCCGAGTGCATTGTCGCCGTCAGCGCAGTTTGTCGCAAGGACTGGTTGTCATCAGCTTCACCTGGATCGTTCGCTGTGAGACACCAAGTGCACCAAGCGACGCGCGAGCGGTCAGTGGCGCTGTCCCGCTGTCATCCGCGGTATGCAACGCCGCGCCTTCCGGTAACGCTGGCGTTCGTCGACGTGCCGCTTTTGCGCACGCGCGCCAGCACCGAGCACCGGCGTCCACGGCAGCAGCTCGAATGATTCGACGTGATTGCTTTTTCACACATGTTTATGTGCTCATGCAACATACATCTCAACAATATGCATGCTTTGTGGGATACATTTCGGAAGTCGCCGGCCGATAAATCAGACTGAGTTCGGGGATCAGCTCCACCAGACTGAAGCAACTGGCGGATGAGAAGCTTGGCCAGTGCCTGAGGGACCCCTGCACATCGGAAGACCAGTTGCACCCCCCCCCAAAAAAAAAACACGAATACCAGTGGACGTGCACTCACGCCAGGTCCAAGGTCGAGCAGTCTGCCTGCGAGGAACGACACACCTCACCAGAGAACACCGCCGGAAACCAATGCTGCCGCGCGACAGGACCAAAAGATGTATTATGTACATAAGTTACGCGTGATCAAACAGTTCAGCATACAGAGCACCCGGTTCGCATCCCCGCACTCAGCGCGTCGAACGCCGCCGCGACACGCGCGCGCTGCAAGCCTTGACTCTCGGTCCGGCGCGCTGCTGGCGGCGACGCAGGGTCCCCGCCGACCTCTAGATCAAGTCGGCCACTGAAAGCGACCAGAGGGACTTCAGGGACGGCGAGATGAGCGCGCTGGGCGGAAACACATCACAAACGGTTATGGTGACGTACGCATGGGCTTACGGGTGACCTTGTTCGCTGTCACAATCGCCTCGTTTGATGAGGATGATGCAAAGGAACGTTTTGGCGGAGGTGTGCTGGTCCGATGTTGTCCCATAACCATAACCGTGGTCCCTGAATCTCAAATTAAATCAACAACATATCCAAAACTCACACGTAAACTTAAATCATCTCTTAAATTTACCAGCGGCCTCTAAGGGTAACCTCTGGACCAGCCCCCTGCTCCTCAGCCCCGGCACCTGTGCGGCACGGTCGGTCGCCGCGCCTCCCACCCCTCGGTTTCTCACCGTTCATGGGCATCTCGTCGATCTGCGTCGAGTAATACTGCTCGATGTCGCGCAGGATGCGAATGTCGTCCGCCTTGACGAAGTTGATGGCCACACCCTTGCGGCCGAAGCGTCCCGAGCGGCCGATCCGGTGGATGTAAAGCTCGCGGTTGTTGGGCAGGTCGTAGTTGATGACGAGCGACACCTGCTGCACGTCGATGCCGCGCGCCCAGACGTCCGTGGTGATCAGCACTCGGCTGTGACCTGGGGTCAGGAAGAAGGTCAGGCACCGGCCGTGACCTGGTGTCTGCTGGCCGGGTCAGCTCCTATCAATGACCTGTGACCTGGGGTCAGAGGGGCAGGTCAGCTCCCAGCTATGACCTGTGACCCGAGGTCAGGGCTCAGGTCAGTGGTCAGGTGTGAACTGATGTCACAGGGACAGGTCGCCGCGCGGGCGGCCCGATCGACAGTGGAGGCTGCATTACGAAGGATGCACGCTGGAGGCGTCATATTTTTTTTAACATGCTACCGGCGGCCGACCCAATGTCCACGATGACGGCAGTGAGAGGTTGTCTCGGCCCTTAGTGCCGACGCTCTGCGAGCACCAGATATGTTTGTAACGATCGCGTTGAAGGACAGTGCCAGCTAAAGAATGTCAGTGTTAAACAGTTGTCAATATTGTTTTACTAGTCGCGATAATCATTGCCCTTTCACGGCTATAATGCGAGCCCAGCTCCTCTGATCCAGCATCCGAATCCCGAACACCACGGACCGCCACATCCACTTCACGGCCACACACTATTCTACAGTTCTGGATTCCATGCCAACTTTAAATGGCCCCAGTGTTAAAACGGAAATGAATGCAACAACAACCCTGAAAAGAAATAGTTTGAAACATGCTTTGTACACGGTTTCTATGACCCAGACCACTCGGGGTTCTGCCGCTGACTATGACATCATTTCCCCGCATCCCTCACGTGACCCACACCGGCCTCTACGCCGGACACCTGCCGAGGACCCCGAGCCGCGGCGGACGCCACCGCGTCGGCCGTCGTCCCGGCGGGCACCGCTGGAGCGCCCCTGAGCGCTAGCGGCGCGGCCGGTCGTCACGTACCTGCCCGGAACTCCTTCATGATGGCCTCGCGCTCCTTCTGCGGCATGTCGCCGTGCATGGAGGTGACGGTGAAGTTGGCCTCCCGCATCTTCTCCGTCAGCCAGTCCACCTGCCCGCCGGCCGACAGGGGTGTCACCACAAAACCCCTCGGAGGTGATGCGTACTCACTCGCCACACCGGCTCGATATCGCCGACGGGGCTGCTGCCCGCCTACGCTGTACTTCATACGCATAAACAGCTGAAGGCCTCGAGACGGGAAGAGACAAAAACAAAGACAAAAAAGAAGACAAAGAGAGACAAATATCTGCAGTCGTTTTCTGGGGTGCTTCCACCGTACCCTGACATTATCTTTTGTCGCTGGCCCCATATCTCTGCGCACCCAGATCGTGAAATGAGTTAAACATCCAGGGCCGTCGTGAAATGAGTTAAAACGCCAGAGTCACAACATGAGCTAAAACGCCCAGGGTCGTCGCGAAATCGAAATCGGTAGACACATCGTTGGCTCCGATAGCCCAGCCAAGATGGTGACGATGCAGTGCCCAGACTTCTCCGTAAAAGGAGTGAATAGCAACGTTATCACAACCAGCTTAACACCAACACGCAGTTGATACCCACACTCTGCACAGACGGTTAGTATGCAGCGTAAACCTTTCATGGCAACTTTTCCAGCACAGAACAGTTGTTTGGATAAGGCAGGCGGATCAGTTTGCGACAAGCGCACTGACGTTAGCACGCAGCTTGCGCCCAGATACACGCATGCTCCCCAAAAAGAACAGAGGCGAGGTAACGTTCCACGGCCCGCTAGACCTGGTCCCATACCTTCCGCTTCGTGTTGCAGAAGATGACGGCCTGGGTGATGGTCAGTGTGTCGTACAGGTCGCAGAGGGTGTCGAACTTCCACTCCTCGCGCTCGACGGCCACGAAGAACTGCTTGATGCCCTCCAGCGTCAACTCGTCACGCTTCACCAGGATCCGGATGGGGTCCGTCATGAACTTGCTGGTCATCTCCAGGATCTCATGCGGCAGCGTGGCCGACAGCAGCACCACCTGTCGGCCCCAACATGAACTCAAGTTAGGACAGGCGTAACTTAGAAACTGAAGGAAACCGCGGATGGCCGGGAAATGTAAAGCTCACCATCGGACCGGGATAGCCCCGGGGTATCACAAACAATCATCATTTTCGGATGAGTTTTGAATTGATGACTGCTATGAGCCCGTAATGGTATTACAAAAAGTCAATACGCGCCGTACTATCGGCATCGCTGATGTTTGGAATAAAAGAATAACAAACCCGAAGTAGGCGCACGTAATATGTTCGGAAATGAGTGGACGCGCCACGCAAACCCCATGCCATTACGTTAATGAGTGGACGCGCCACGCAAACCCCATGCCATTACGTTAATGAGTGGACGCGCCACGCAAACCCCTTGCAATTACGCTAATCATTTGAGCCGATACGAGACTACACAGGCCAGTGGACTCCTAGGCGGACTACACATTCACCAAAATGCCGCGCACATTTCACTGAAACACAGGAACTAACACAAATAACAAAGCCGAAAGCAGTTTCCTGCACGTCTGAAAGACGCGTTAAAATTGATAGAAGTACCGACTCACATCTTCCCAACAATACACAAGCGGCCAGGCCTTTTCTCCGACACCTTCCGACGTCAAGAGAGAACAGAAGGGCACAGCGGCTGGCCGACCTGACCTGGGTGGCCGGAGGCAGGTAACGGTACACGTCGTAGATCTGCTCCTTGAAGCCCTTGTTCAGCATCTCGTCCGACTCGTCCAGCACGAGCATCTTGATGGCGCGGGTGCGTAGCGTCCGGCGACGAATCATATCTGCCGGCAGCAGGTCAGGTCAGGTCAGGTCAGGTCAGGTCAGGTCGGGTCGAGTTAGGTCAGGTCAGGACAGGACAGAGCAGGTCAGAACAGGTCAGGTTAGGTCATGGTGGCCAACATCACAGCAGCATTGATCCCAGCAGGCAGCTTAAGGCGCACACGTTGTGTGAGCCATGATAAATGATGAGTCATCAGGGAAAATGACGTGGTTCGTCCGGATGCTTTTCGGTTCATTCCACGTACCCGCTGAACTGCGCTTGCTCGGTGCACCTTTACGCCACCAACGCCGTCGTCAGCACAACTCCTGGCAGAGCGTGCACTTCGTACCCACTCTATTGACCGAACAACACAGACTGGATGACGATGCAATTGCTGTTTTTCTGACCCGTGCGACGGCACCAAAACCTGTCCTCAGTCAAGCCAAAACACATCAGGTGAAGCGAAACATGTCAAAGTTAAGCCGATTTTGTGCCTAACTGGGCTCAATGCAACACACCAGACATGGAAATGAATCCCGCTTCGGCTTCGTGCGTTTCGGCTTCGGCTGATAGGTAAGAGCTACAACATGCATTTGAAGGGGACTGGCTGCTGCGGTGTTCACCTGCCTGTCGCTAGCGTAGGTCGCGTTCAAAAGGACAATGAGCCTAGCAAAACACAGCCGTTTGCACTACTGCAATACTAAAACCTAATCAAGCTTACCTTACAGCACGTTTTCTAGCACAGCATACGCGCAAGCCGACCTCTGCGCGTGTCAACGAACAACAGCGACACCCCGCCCGACCCAGACCGGTCCCAGGCAGCACCAACACCCGCCTATCCCTCTGAAACAGCGGGCTGAAGGGACGTCAGACCCGCTCCTCGCTCACCGAACACGCGGCCGGGCGTGCCCGAGACGATGTGCTGGCCGTAGTCGAGCTTGCGGATGTCCTCGCCCAGGCTGGTGCCGCCGATGCAGGCGTGGCACTGCACGTTCATGTAGTCGCCCAGCGCCAGGATCACCTGCAGCGGGCGCGGACACTGATCAGCCGGCGGGTCACGGAGGCCGCTGGGCGCCCACGAGGGTCAGCACACTCTGGCTGCAGGTGATCCTGCAGCAGGCGGAAGTGGGTCAAGGGAGAGTGCTGGCCGCTCACGAGGGGCGGAGTCGCGCGACGCTGCTGGCGGAGAGCCAAGGGAGCGATGAGCAGTTAATTGAATAGAAAGGCCCCGGTTGATCTCGTTCAGCACACCGATTCAGGCAGCCGCCAAGCTTCGGCGATAAGAGGTGGACGCCAACGTTCCCAGTCGAGTTCAACTCCAAACACGCTGTCCAGCTTCATGGCACTGTCTCTCCGTGGACAAGAGGCAAACGGCGAGCGAGGACGCACTACCACCTCACAACAAAAGTAAAACGTGTTGCTGGAAAAATCGACACCACGCCTCCGCAGCAGGGTTGGCAGTACCGATCTGAAACAGTCTCTGCCAGGTGACTGCCACTAGTTCAAACTGACTGGCAGGAACGACTGGTAGTAATAACTGGAGGGAAGTGGCAGTTCTGCAAAACATTGCCCATGGAATAAATTGAAACAGCAGGGCGAGAATAGCCCAAATTAAATGGTAATTGTGGCTGGTGTTTGCACGGTGTCCAGTAAAGTCTAGTGTCTAGTAAACACGTAGACACCGTCTACATGGACAATCGCACGATAACAACAGGAAAAGTCTGCCAGAAATGGTAAGTTGTCACAAACGGCCACAAAAGTTAAATCCACCGTATTCATGTTTACACAACTTGAGCAAGAAAGACATCAGACTTTAAAAGACATATCTGGTTGCCAGGCAACCCACCTGTTGCAATGTCATGACACATTATGCAAGCTAAGTGCAGTTGGTAATAAATCAAGGTAATTCACGAAAGCAGCATCAAATGGTATCTAACTTCACAACGTCCTTCGCTCATTTGAAACCACACGTCCTGATAAGTGATAATGAAAGGCGCCTTTTACCGCTGAATAAATGTACGGTGCCCATGTGTGACAGGAAAACAAACATAAAATGACACCAACCTGTGCACATTCAAACTTAAGCTTAGCCGAACCACCAATGTCGCCGCCTGCTCATGAAACCAACCAACCCTTCACTACACAAATATTTGTTAAAAGTATAACCTGATGTCAGACCGCATAAACGCATGCAACAAAATCAGCAAAGCAGCACATTTTGCAAGGAGCTTCAATTGTATTTGCATGCAAAATGCCACAATTCACCAAATAACGTATGCTGACGTACTTAAAGGTACTTATTACATGCCCTTATAATCTCTCAAGTTTATTTAAAACATATTATAAAGACCTCATCACACACCAAACCAGCTGTATCGTCGAGGACAAAAATGCTGCCGTGGTCATTGAGCAGTTGCACCGGACATGACTTGCATAGCAGACGCACTATTTATCACGCCATGCAAAGGTGAGAAGGCGATTGGCCCACCAGAGTTAAGCCAGCATAAAGTGGCAATACTGCAGCATAATTTGACCTGCCAAATTCTCCATACTCCCACCTGACGGGAAGGCCAGAGGCTGAATTACTCCAAGGATTGGATTAGCCTGTCTTGGGCGGGCTGACCAAAATAAACGGACACTGTTTTAATCATGGGTTTGTGGTACATGAAACAAAAAAGGCCTAACAAGTGCTCTGAGCCCAAAACCAAATAAGCAAAGCCATTAAAACAAACCTTAAAAAGGAAATGGATTACATTTTTCCTAACAGCTGGACTTTGAATGTAGAGTGATAAATCAAGGCTATGTATTAACGTAGCCAAGTATGTATCAGTCATGTAAATCCGCCACATGTTGCGATCATGCTGTACTAATGCCCTGTTATTGGGTTCTTGACCGTCTATCAAATGCTGTAAAAACCACAGGGCGATATATTACATGCAAATATAAATTCAGAGGCATGTTAACAACGGCATACACCTAACGAAAAACCGTCAAATGCATACGTCATGCAAAACAGCTCATCATTCCATTTTTTGCCACAATAAGCTTTACTTTACTAAAGCGTGTCTTAACTTGCAAATTTTCAGCTGGCCGAAAAACGAGCCCGGTGCTGCGCGGCCCGGTCTCAGCAGCGCCTGCGTCGGCGCGGTGGCCGCTCACCTTCTGGATCTGGACGGCCAGCTCACGGGTGGGCGACATGATGAGCACCTGCGTCTCCCGCAGCGTGGTGTCCAGGCTCTGCAGCACCGAGATGGAGAAGGTGGCCGTCTTGCCGGTGCCCGACTGCGCCTGCGCGATCACGTCGCGGCCCTTCTGGATGGGGCGGATGGCGCGCTGCTGGATCGCCGAGGGCCGTTCGAAGCCTGGGGGGAGACCCGCGCCCGTAAGGCGTGCCGAGGCGGCATAGGCACAGAGCTGGCGCCTGCACAGCGGAGACGCGGCACGCCCGCTCCCCGCTCCGTCGTCGCCGTTGGGGTTTTACGACGCACTCAGCTGCTGAGGCTATGTCACGGTGTCGACCGCCTCTCCTCTCACTCCGGCAGGCAGGGCGGACACCGCGGGGAATCGACATTCCTACCTCAGGTTTTTTGAACGCGCAGCTGCCTACTACGCTACCGATTCCCGACGCAGAAAGGCAATACGCAATGGCGATATACTACATACTAAATGCGCATGCATACCTACTTATCACGTCACAGGGCATGCAGGTGAGCGGAAGTGGTACAACTCAGTATTCCGCGCCTTGGATCTTATTGTTTTGTTGAAAAGTCATGCTCAAACACCGGAAAGGATTCCGAGTGGCCGAACGGAAAGAAAGAAAGTTTCCGAACGGAAACGGACTATGCCAAACCAGCCTGTGCCAACTGGACTGAACCTAGCCTTCCCTATCCTAACCCTGCCTGGCCGGTTTTCTTCAAGTACTTCACCTTTTTTAGAAGAAGAAAAATCTCCACCGCGAGCGTTTTACGCGCAGTGCGGCACGGGCTCAACCAGCTCGCGTTAGCAGGATTGCCCAACTTTGAAATCATACAATCCAAACGACATCTTTAGCACCAAAAGTAATGAGCAGGCAATTAACACCATTCACTAGGTCGTTTCGACCACTGCTACTCACAATGCTCGCATGATTGCCTATCATCTTCAAGAAATAACCATCTGATAATATAATAATTTCGGCCACAAACAGGTCATATGATTTTTAACACGCAGACAGCCGACGATTTATAGCATGTACTAAAAGGACAACATAAGCACCAAATTACGTACATTCGAGCAATCAAGAAAATTATCCCAGTTCTTCACATTCGTGTCTCGAGTTGATGTTTCCAAACAGACAGCACAGAGAAAACCCCAACAACGTCGGCGGAAATGAAGCATTTCCGGCATTCTTAAAAAACGGACCAAGCCACGGGAACCAAACACCGAAGCCAAGCCAACGTTTTCGGTGCGGTACATTGACGTCTATTAGCGCAGTGCATCTCATACACGAGTCCGGATAATGTGATTCACACTTATTAGGACCAAACACATCGTGACGACATTGTCGCTTCAACTACAACACTTGGGTTCAATTAATATGACTACTCCGCTGCCGTGACATGCTGCAATCATGTGCAGAGGGACTGTCGTAGTACCCTCTTAAAGTAGTGCACCTCTTGTACAATTCCAACGAGCAAGGCTTGAAATCGCTCTGACATCTAGAGACATACTCTGCCGAGATCATATGCCAACAGCCACCCTAAGGAAACGGATCAAGCCTCGGGAAACGAAGACTGAAGCAAGGCCAGCGCTTTCGGTACGGTACATATACGTCTGTTAGCGTAGTGCACCTCACACACGAGTCCGGATAATGCAATTCACACCTTTAGAACTGAACACGTCGTGCTGACAATGTCGATGGAACTGCAAGACTTCGGTCCGATGAATAAGACTCATGCATTGCCGTGAGATGCTGCAATCATGTCGTGCAGAGGGACTGTCGTAGCACCCTCTTAAAGTAGTGCACCTCTTGCACAATTCCAACGAGCAAGGCTTGAAATCGCTCTGACATCAAGAGACATACTCTGCCGAGATATTATGCCAACAGCCACCCTACGGAAACGGATCACGCCCCGGGAAATGAGGACTGAAGCAAGGCCAGCGTTTTCGGTACGGTACATATACGTCTATTAGCGTAGTGCACCTTATACACGAGTCCGGATCATGCGATTCACACTTATTAGGACCAAACACATCTTGCTGACGATGTCGGTGGATATGCCAGACCACGGTCCGATGAATAAGACTCATGCATTGCCGTCAGATGTTGCCATCATTGGCGGACAGACTGCAGTAGCACCCTCTTCAAGTAGTACACCTCTTGTATAATTCCAATTGGCGAGACCTAAAAACCACTCTGACATCCAAAGACGTTCTCTGTCGAGATAATATGCCAACAGCCACGCTAAGCAAACGGACCAAGCCCCGGGAAACGAAGACTGAAGCAGGGCCAGCGTTTTCGGCACGGTACATATACGTCTGTTAGCGTAGTGCACCTCACGCGAGTCCGGATCATGCGATTCACACTTATTAGGACTAAACACATCTTGCTGACGATGTCGGTGGATATGAAAGACTTTGGTCCGATGAATAAGACTCATGCATTATCGTCAGATTTTGCCGTCATTGGCGGACGGACCGCAGTAGCACACTCTTCAAGTAGTACACCTCTTGTATAATTCCAATTGGCGAGACCTAGAAACCGCTCTGACATCCAAAGACGTACTCTGCCGAGATAATATGCCAACAGCCACCCTAAGGAAACGGACCAAGCCCAGGGAAACGAAGGCTGAAGCAAGGCCAGCGTTTTTGGTACGGTACATATACGTCTGTTAGCGTAGTGCACCTCATACACGAGTCCGGATCATGCGATTCACACTTATTAGGACCAAACACATCTTGCTGATGATGTCGGTGGATATGCAAGACTTCGGTCCGATGAATAAGACTCATGCATTGCCGTCAGACGTTGCCATCATTGGCGGACGGACTGCAGTAGCACCCTCTTCAAGTAGTACACCTCTTGTATAATTCCAATTGGCGAGACCTAGAAACCACTCTGACATCCAAAGACGTACTCTGCCGAGATAATATGCCAACAGCCACGCTAAGCAAACGGACCAAGCCCCGGGAAACGAAGACTGAAGCAGGGCCAGCGTTTTCGGTACGGTACATATACGTCTGTTAGCGTAGTGCACCTCACACACGAGTCCGGATCATGCGATTCACACTTATTAGGACTAAACACATCTTGCTGACGATGGTATAAGGTACGCTGCGCTTATAAATATATATGTACCGTACCGAAAACGTTGGCCTCGCTTCGGTATTCGGTTTCCGGGGCTTGGTCCGTTCTCTTAGAATTGCTGTTGACACGTTATTTCGGTACAGTGTGTCTTTGGATGACAAAGCCGTCCTTAGGTCTCGCCAACGAATTATGCAAGAGGCGCACTACTTTAAGAAGGTGCTACTACGGTCTGTCCGCACATGATGGTGACATCCCACGACAGTGCATGAGTCTTATTCATTGAATCAAACCATTGCAGCTCAGCCGACAGTGTCGGCACAATGTGTTTATTTCTACTTAGTGTGAATCGCGTTGTAAGGGCTCTTGTTTCAGGTGCACCGCACGACTAAACGTATATGTACCGTACCTAAACCGTTGCCTTTGTTTCGGTCCTCGGTTCCCGGGGCTCGGCTTTGTTCCTCAGGGTTCGTGTCGGGATGTTATCTCGGCGGGGTGTGTCTTTGCCTTTCAGAGTGGTTTTTAGGTCTCGCCAATCGGAATTATACAAGAGGTGTACTACTTTAAGAGGGTGCTACTACAGCCTGTCCGTACATGATGGCAGCATCTCACGGCAATGCATCAGTCTTATTCATCGGACCGAAGTCTCGCAGTTCCACCGTCATTGTCAGCACGATGTGTTTAATTTCCATAAGTGTGAATCGCCTGATCCGGACTCGTGCATGAGGTGCACTGCGCTAATAGACGCATATGTGCCGTACCGAGAACGCTGGCCTAGCTTCAGTCTTCGGTTCCAAGGCTTGGTCCGTATCCTTAGGATTTTTATTGGCATATTATCTCGGTAGAGAATGTCTTTGGATGCCAGAGCGGTTTTTAGGTCCCGCCAATTGGAATTATACCAGAGGTGTACTACTTGAAGAGGGTGCTACTGCAGTCCGTCCGCCAATGATGGCAACATCTGACGGCAATGCATGAGTCTTATTCATCGGACCGTGGTCTAGCATATCCACCGACATCGTCAGCAAGATGTGTTTGGTCCTAGTAAGTGTGAATCGCATGATCCGGACTCGTCTGTAAGGTGCACTGCGCTAATAGACGTATATGTACCGTACCGAAACGCTGGCCTTGCTTCAGTCTTCTTTCCCGGGGCTTGATCCGTTTCCTTAGGGTGGCTGTTGGCATAATATCTCGGCAGAGTATGTCTCTGGATGTCAGAGCGATTTCAAGCCTTGCTCGTTGGAATTGTGCAAGAGGTGCACTACTTTAAGAGGGTGCTACGACAGTCCCTCTGCACGACATGATCGCAGCATCTCACGGCAATGCATGAGTCTTATTCATCGGACCGAAGTCTTGCAGTTCCATCGACATTGTCAGCACGACGTGTTCAGTTCTAAGGGTGTGAATCGCATTATCCGGACTCGTGTGTGAGGTGCACTACGCTAACAGACGTATATGTACCGTACCGAAAACGATGGCCTTGCTTCAGTCTTCGTTTCCCGAGGCTTGATCCGTTTCCTTAGGGTGGCTGTTGGCATATTATCTCGGCAGAGTATGTCTCTGGATGTCAGAGCGATTTCAAGCCTTGCTCGTTGGAATTGTACAAGAGGTGCACTACTTTAAGAGGGTACTACGACAGTCCCTCTGCACGACATGATGGCAGCATGTCACGGCAAACGGAGTAGTCATATTAATTGAATCCAAGTGTTGTAGTTTAAGCGACAATGTCGTCACGATGTGTTTGGTCCTAATAAGTGTGGATCACATTATCCGGACTCGTGTATGAGATGCACTGCGCTAATAGACGTCAATGTACCGCACCGAAAACGTTGGCTTGGCTTCGGTGTTTGGTTCCCGTGGCTTGGTCCGTTTTTTAAGACTGCTGGAAATGCTTCAGTTCCGCCGACATTGTTGGGTTTTTCTCTGTGCTGTCTGCTTGGAAATATCAATTCGAGACACGAATGTGAAGAACTGGGATACTTTTCTTAATTGCTCGAATGTACGTAATTTGGTGCTTATGTTGCCCTTTTAGTACATGCTATAAATCGTCGGCTGTCTGCGTATTAAAAATCATATGACCTGTTTGTGGCCGAAATTATTGTATTATCAGATGGTTATTTCTTGAAGATGATAGGCAATCATGCGAGCATTGTGAGTAGCAGTGGTCGAAACGACCTAGTGAATGGTGTTAATTGCCTGCTCATTACTTTTGGTGCTAAAGATGTCGTTTGGATTGTATGATTTCAAAGTTGGGCAATCCTGCTAACGCGAGCTGGTTGAGCCCGTGCCGCACTGCGCGTAAAACGCTCGCGGTGGAGATTTTTCTTCTTCTAAAAAAGGTGAAGTACTTGAAGAATACCGCCTGGCCTAGTTAACCTAAACCTACCTACATCCATACACTGGGCGCTGCATGACCTCTAGCAGTCGATGCGCCCTAAAACTCCAAATCATCATCATCATACATCCATACACCTACTTCTAATTTAAAAGCTTTGTCTTTTGGTAACTTTCAATCAATGGCTTTTACATTTGTCTGATCACGATCATCTTACTTCTGAAGTAAGATCATACATTTTTGTCTTTCACTACCAATGTTAGCATGTGCTTTAAAAGAACCATGTTATTTTGTTGATGTACTGGGAGATACAAGTCAAGCATTAATGAGCAAACATTGATATGCACCATGAGGAACCTTAACACTGAATGTTTTGAGACAGTGCTCATGGTCACTTCACTACCTATTACATGACAGCCCAATTATTCACTGGTAAAGTTCCTACATGGGGTTGCTACTTGTAACTCATCTGATATCAGGATTTCTGCACAACAAAGATGCTCTACAATTTTTTTTTTGTTATTGTGGTGTTAAAGGCAATGTGCATACTGCCACCAAAGCGCCCTGTGTGGATGTATGGCATCAGCACATATTCTTTTGCCAGAATTATTATGGAAGGGTCAGGGAAAATAAGGCACCTTACATTGAGCACCACAGTGAACAGATCCATGACCTATGCTGGGGATAGGGTGTGACACAAATACCCGAACTGGTTTCTTTTCATGCAATGACATTGCCACCATCAAGCTCCCAGAAAAGGTGTAGGCAACCCACATGTGCTTTTGTCATATCACATGTGGGCCAGTTAGCATCAATCACAACTAAGAATACGTACCATATGCGTAGATCCCACGGAGAAGATCCTCACGGAGGTTCATATTATCAAACGTAGGTACAACTTCCACATCTTCACTGGTTTCGAATTCGACGTTGGATAGGTCTTCCAGGTCTTGATTCCTTCGCCCTACTCGCTCCGCAGCCATGGTCTCTTAGATACCGTACAAGCTTTTGAAACTTTCAAAAATGATCCGTTGCATCTATTCAAGCACAAAATGAAGACTTGCAGACGTACACAACAAACTCACGTACGCGAAACCACTGGCACAACCGCGGACACCACCTAACCCCGCGGTACGCTCGCGGTCCGTGAATCCAAGGTCGTGCAATGGGGTACAATCATCTGGCGATTTTGCTGCCCCATCCGCTCAACGTTAGCATGACGTCACTGAAGCCTTGCCTTCAGCAGGCGCTGCGCGTGATCCCGCGCAGTCCTCCGATGAATCATAGCTCACCTGTTGGTTTTAACCACATTGGCTATCACATGTAAGTCTGGGAGTGAGACGCTATTAATTTGTTGTAAGATACCGACGTTATCGATCAAGGCTATTTTGTTCAAGTCAGGTCCTGTCCCGGCCAGCATGTCCCACTGGTACCCATGCGGGTCCGAGATGGGCTGTCATATGGGGCCCATCAGGGCTGCCCACTCTGATCTCAAGTGGGTATGTCATGGACAACCGCCTGGGTCCCGCATGGGCAGCCCAACTTGGGTCCATATTAAGTCAAACTGGGACCACATGGGGCCTACTTGGGCTGCCCAGTTAAAGCCCATTTTGGTACCATGTAGGCATGTCATGGGAAACTAACTGGGTCCCACATGGGCATCCATCTGGCAACCACGTGGCCTAATTACGACCCACATGAGGCCAACCTGGGCTACCCAGTTGGGACCTACATGGGCATATTCAACTGGGGCCCACATGGATATGCCTAGCTGGAGCCCATATAACCAGCCCAGGTGGGATCCATATAACAAGTCCAGATAGGACATCTTTAACCACCCCAGATTGGCCCCATTTATGCTTTATAGATGTGCTCTTTCAAATTTCATGTGGTTGATGGACGCCCGTGATTCTGAACAAGCTGCTTCATATCATCCGTAATATTCCAGGTCAGGGGTTATGCACCATGCATTTGTCCAAAATTTCCTCATGAACAGCAGCGCCCCGCAAAACATCCAGTTTTCTGCTATCATTCCCGATATGATATCTTAAGTACGGTCTTCGCTCGACTATCTTACCCGTGTGTGACCACCTCGTACGCCCATGGGATATCATCCCGGTCAGTTCGATCAGAAACAGAAACAGACGAGGTCATGGTTTTCAAGGGTATATTGTAGAACCGGTACAGACAAAGGACGAGAGAGGCAGAATCAGTTCATACAACAGAGAACAGTACAAGAACAGTAACACAAGGCATCTTAGGCACACCCCGACCAGACCTAGGTTCGGCCGGACCGCACTTACTTCGTCCGGGTAGCCAGCTGCGTCAAAGCAGCGTTCATTTCAGCATGGCGCTCTGCCCTGCTTTCCATGACGTGCGTTTTTATAAGCTCTACGCCCGGCGACGGCGTAAAAACATCGGGGTATGTGGCGTGGCGGTGACGCCTCGCACGAGAGCCGGAGGCGCCGGCCGGCCGTGGCGTCCGGGAGGCGCGGCGCCGAGTCTCGGTCAGCCGGTCGGCTGCTGGGAGAAAGTGGATGCGCGCGGGAGGGACTAAACGGCCAACCAAATCTGTCGACAGTCCATGCTCCGAGAGTGTAGCACCGATTGACATGAGACCTTGGCCATTCGATGCCGCGTGATCGATAGCCTGTCCTTTTTAAATATGGTGACCTTGGGTTAGGTCAAAGGTCAACATAAATACAAAAAATGGAAAAATAAGTTGACAGACGATCCACGTTCCCAGCCTACGGCACCGATCGGCACGAAATCGTCACCAATCGACATGTCATGGTCGATGACTTATTATCGCGAGAACTTGGTGACTTTGAGTGAGACCTAAGGTCATCAAAAATGCTGAAAGCTACCAAAATTGGCTCAAGACAACTCCGTACTCCGAGTCTATGGCACTGATCGTCATGAAATCTTATGAAACCTCAGATTAAAGGTGACTAAAAACGACCAAAACCACCAAAATTGACTGAAGACAAACAAACCCATTTTCCAAAGGTATGTCACCGATCACCATGAAACCTTGATCAATCGATACGCCATAGTCGATACCCGTCCTTCCCTAAACACGGTGACATGGTGAAGTCCCAAAAGACTTAAGAGGCGTAGGTAGTCTTTTTAGACAAGCTTCATTCATGGGAACAACTGTAAACGAACTTATCCACACGAACGTTTACGGTGCAAGCAGTTCCGTACTGAACATTTTTCAGACTTTCGTTTTCCCAAGCAAGGTTTTTACGTAAGGATCTTTTCACAGTATGAAACTGATACCGTGCGCAGCTCATCTTGATGGACTTTACGCTTGCAAACTTGTAACTTGCAAATAGTTGTTACGCGATCTTTTCCACACGTACTTTTTCCGCAAGCAGAGACAATACTCCTCAGGTGTCAGCTGGCGGCTGCGTCAATATCTCTGCTGAGGTGAAAAGTACGCATAGAAATGATTGCGCAGCAATTTTTCTTGCGATAAAGTTTGTATGCCTAAGTACAGGAGAACAACATAGGCGTTGTAAAAAGCTCATCATGCAAAAAGTTCATCGTGCAAAGATCTACAAAAGATAATCTGTGTGACAGTGCAGCATTGTTTAGTTTTAACGAGTCTGGATGGCATGTGAATACAACGAATTAAAAGCATACAACAAATGAGATGAAGGCAGCCATCTGACAGCGGCGGCGGCAACTGATGATGTCTGTTTTCACTCCCTCACCTCGCAGATCATTTTTAAATGTGATGGTTCCAGAGACATCCGCAGATGAGCCTTTGCTAATGAGATATTTCTGGTTGCAAAAGTAATGTTGAACGGCTGGCTCTAAATCTAAAATAATCCACTGATACTCATTTAGAGCGACATACAGCTTTGAAGTGGCAAACATGTCAAACAATAGCTTATCATCACTTTTTCTTCTTTTAAATCATGCTGCATTGGACGTAGTCACACATGCTTTTCGACACGTCCATGTTGTACATAGGACCGCCGACCTTAACATGGATTCGCAGTTATAATCATTAACCCTCACTCTGCTAATAGGAGGGTGATGCACCCTTCGCCTTCCCCTTCCAGAAGTTTCTGGGGATATCTCTCTGGAACGTGCAAGCACGTCGAATGTTTCAATATTCCATGACTATTTATTGTGTGTGTTTTGACATCAAAAGCTTTTTATGAATCTGATTTCTGAAAAGCAAAGTTCTTGTCGGAATGCTGCATGGTAATCCAAGGTCGGCGCGGACGGCGGGCGGCAACCAACGGATCCGCCGTTGGCGCGGGGCGGCCAGCACTGTTACGTCAACAAAGCCATGCGTAATAAATATATGTTCAAAACACACCCAACTGTGGGTAATCCATACACCCATGTATATCCGTCAGTGGTACTGAGAATTACACAAAAAGCACGTTTTTGTAAGTTGTATGCAGTTAAGCAGGATTACTACGTAAACATGCGTATATAAAGCTGAACAGCATCGTTTCCAGGAAAATTGGCATTTGATCTGTCCTAGTCGGATCAAATATGAACACAAAGCTATCAAACTGGCTACCAATTGTGAGATATGGTTGGGTTCAACCCGCAGGATTTTCGGCAGGATTGTCTCTGTCGTAGTTTGGCAAAGGCATCGACCGCTCCCCATCTTCATGAAAAGCGGCGAATTTGGGACGAAGGTTAAAGACGCAATGCGATGAGGTATCTGAATACTTCCCTAGCTTATGAATGCCACTGGATGCAAATTCATTAATTAGCTTTTCAAAAACTGGTGCAGCTAAATCGTAGGCAATGGAATGACCAGGCAGCCTTTGTCAGCTGGGAGCGTTGGTTGCGGGTTATCCACATTGGTTGGAGATAGCACCCAATCGAACGCTCGATATTGGTAGCCGAGTCGCCCATGTCGGACTTTCGACACTAAAGCTGTCGATAAATTCAAGCATGACAGTCTGGGCCTGTGCCTTTCTTGAGCACCAAGCAGCTCAAAGAAACTGCATCTAATCAGTTGCGTGCAACCGCCAGAAACTGCGACCAATATTACAGAAGACAGTGGTTGGCGGTGTGCTCGGTGCTGCCGGCGCACCAGGCCAGCCGGCCCACCTGGTCAGCCGGTCCGCTGACCGGCACCTCTGCGCCGCTGAAGGATGCGAACCCCTCACTCCCCACCGCCGAGATCCCAGCGGGTGACCGGTCAGCGGGACACCGGTAATTGCCGGGGGAGCTCCAAACGCGGCCAATCATCCATCAACCAGTGGAAGGTGAATAGAGGACTAACTCAATGCGTTTCGCGCACAAACTTCCGACAGGAACACATCAGCCACTTCAAGTGACATGACAGTGAATCGGCTAATGTTAACGTGAACTAAGCTGGCCACGCGCAGCCCACGCGGATGAGGTCCATAGCAGCTGTCCTTATCTGTGCATGACATGGCAAAACCGAACCAGCGAGCACACGGCACGAAGATTATTAAACACATGGTCAAGATGCTAGCGTATTTTTGCAGCCAATTTGAACCCCAGTGGTGCCCAGACGACAGCCCGCCTGCATCCCATGCTAGCATGAGGTCGGCTTGTGCACCTGCGGCCCATTTGGATTCGAGTCTATGCCGCTTACTCTTGTTGCAAACTAGCGGGTGCACGATCAGAAAATATCGAACCATAGAGAACAAAGTACAAAAATTGATGCACTAGTGTAAAATATGATAGTGTGTGAGCGGCCCGTCTGGATCCGACATGGAACTCAAAGACCAGCCCACCTGCCACCCATGTTGACATGAGCCCAACTTGTCCACATACATCCCATGTGAGCCTCAACCCGTGCTGTTATCCTTTGTTATGTACTCGTTTCTACACGATGAGTAAAAATCCAACGTAAGAGCACAAAGTAACTACCCTAATGTATATGTGTCAAACACCAGCCCGTCCGCAACCTCTATGGAGGTGAGCCCAGCTAGCCCGTGTTCAGCCCATATTGACCCCACTCGAGGCAGCAGTCCCATGCTTTATAATAATGGTGCATGACATAGTAAAACCCGTGCAATAAAACAATTGATATACACATCAATACTGTGCGTGTGGCAACTTCATTGCGCATGTAGCATATGGGCAGCCCACCCGGGCCCCAGATTCAGTCTAGATACCAGACCACCTGT